GTGGATGATGAGCGGTGAGGCGTTGCTGCCTCTGTCACACATATCTGGGTTAAAAAAGGGAAACATGGCCTCGGTGAACTGAAACTGTGTAAAGGAATAAATGTGTGACTTGGCATCTGCATCATAGAAGGACACCGTGCCGTCCTCGTAATCCAAAAACACCCCAACAACCTGGGGCCTCTGAGAGAGACTCAGGAGCTCTGCCTCTCCTGCACATGCCCGGTACTCGGTGCCCTTCCTCAAGCAAAGAGCCCAATAACCGTCCTCTGGACTCAGTGTGACCGCACCCTTCCTGTTGATTGACTGTCCAGCCACTCCCAGGTCCCACGCTGTTTTATTTCTCACCTCTACCTCCCAGTAGTGCCTCCCTGTGGTGAAACCCTGCGTGACACGAGAGGCATGCGTCAATGTTTGGCTGGATTGGAATTGTCGCATTTGCTTAGGAAGGTTCCTAACTGACTGAAATGACCCGGAAGTCGGGTCATTTCAGTGCCATGGTAAGAACTGTAGCTAGGGAGAGGAGCTTCAATGCTTTCCTACTTAGCTCCTTTAGCATAGGAACCACTGGACCATATTTTAAAGGAAAAGGAGATAATGATTACGTCCCACAATTCCTTGCGGCGGCAATATTTAAATTGTGACGTAGCATTCGGCCGTTCACGAGAAACGTAGATCATGTAAGTACCTTTAGCATGACTCATTTCTAATGCAACCTTGTTAATAAAGTAATGCTTTGAACCTGGTTGTTTAGCTAATCTGCATGACACATGCAGCACTGTAGCAACACATGGAGGCTAAGGTGCACTTCTTTGTAGTCCATCTTTGGAGAAATTGTAGTTTTGTTATATTTAAGTGTTTGTCATACCTTCTTTTCCCATTAAATCAACCTGGGATGCTTGCTGAAATTGATTCAATTGCCCTACCTGGAACATTTTCTACGAGCCACCCCCGAAAAGCACATACAAAGCCCATCCCCATTTTTTACCCTTGTGGCAAGGACACATGGTGCCATGTCGAAGCGCTCTGGTATGTCAGCCAAGTTCTGTTCAACATCTCCATCCCGGACCTGTTTCCCATCCTGTGAGAGAACCAGCCACGGGTTGGCTGTCTTTGGGTCCAGATGAACATCAACTGTGAGAGAGACAGGAATTTGAACTTCATGATCCCCTTTCTCCAAAGATTGAATCATTCTTTTTTTGTGGTTTCCACGAGTTAAGTTGTCCAGACAAATACTCAAGTATTACAAATACAGGTAATATTCAGTTGCAGGCCAAATAGCACCATCAATATCCTTTGGCATGCATTGACACAATACCTTTTTTAAGTTTTAAGTAAAGAACTATTGTTACTTTCAGCCCTAAACTTATTTAGGTGTTATTGTAAATAATTTTAAAATGTATTTTATTTATTCATTCATTTATTTTGCAGGGACAATGCACACTAATCAACAGTTGTACTGTAAGTGAGCCAGAGAGGTCAATTTCCATCTGCTATCCCCGGCCAGATGTTTTGAAGGCAACCTATAATAAAAATCTCAAAAGGAACTGTTATTAAAAACCATAGACACACAACAACATATACACAAAACCAATACACAGCAAAAGAAAATAAGCGTGTATGACAATAGACTAGAGCTACCATCACAGGCTGCCGCATGCGTCAGGCAGAACAAACACCTACAGTACAAGCACATATGAAGCAATATACAGAGAAAGAAAAACACTAAGCGAAACAAAGGCAGGCAGGAAAGACAATGTTTCCATGCCTGATTGGCAACACGCCAAACCTTAAGGTATGTTTTGTGTGCACAGCATTCCACGAGCTGCCTTCAGAGGGAATGTAGAGTTGCTCAATGAGCTGAACCTCATCGAATTACCATCTCTTGAAGCAGATCTAGTAAGTCTGCTGCTTTGACTTCTTTGTTTGATTAAAAAATTGGAGGCGGGGTAATTCCATTTAACATTTTTGTCGTCTCAGTGAAACTGTATTTTAGGGTTTTATTTAAAATATGTTACATTTGAATTCAGTTGAGAAATGAAAAGAGGTTTGAGAGGGAGAGCGAAAGAGACACTGGCATGCTGCACGATCAAACTGTACCTGCATACTGCTGGATCCTCTCGTGCTCTGTAAGTTAAACAAAATAATCAACAAATGTTCCTTTATTGATCAGATGTAAAAAAAAAAACAGTTCTCAGAATGTAGTGATGCTGACAAAAAGTCTTTCTGTGAAATTTACCTTGATTGGAAAGCTTTATCAAAGCTGATTGAAGCTGCTGTTCAACGCTGGCCAGCTCTTTTCTCACAATCCCCAAACATGTGTCTGTATGGACGATGATGTCCGTGCAGGCTTTGTAAGACAAAGGACAGCTCAAAGCTGGAAACCTCTGACAAGTCAAATATGAGAGAAAAACAAGCAGAGTAGACCCGCAAGATGAGATGGGAATAAAGATAAAAGACAGCAACATCTTTCCTCCAGTTGGTGTACATCTTCTAGAATGTTCTTTAGATACTCTGGATGTACAGTATGTATGAATCTCTTGCGTTAAGACGGCTCTTCACCTGCAGAAGATTGAGGTGGTCCTCTGTCTGAGAAAGCTGTTCCATCTCACTCCTCTTCCTCTCTAACTCAGTGATTTCCAGCTCGAGGTGTGTTATGAGCCTCTCTGCCCTCTGCTCCGCTGCTTCCTGCTTCCCGCGGATCATCTCCACCAACTCGGCCTGACGTCTCTCCAAGGAATGAAACAGAGTGGAGAGGACCTCCGTGCTTTCAACTATGTCCCTCTTTGAGCTTTCCTGAAAACATTGAATAATGAAAAAATTGAAAGTTCCCCCTACTCAAATGTGTTTTGCATAATTCACATTGATGTGTGACCCTCACTGTGCAGAATGATGTATGTGCGGTGTTTGACAGCAGAAAGCTGTTTCATATTCACCTGCTGAAGGTCATGACGTGGATTTACACAACTGGTGTGGAAGGAAAGGTCCAGTGTGCAACTTGCAAGTTTGTAGCAGGAGTTAGAATGTTTTAACATTTCTGCCAAGGTCCAATTTATCCAACAAGAGACATTTACTTAAGCTTTTATATCATCTAATGTCAACTCACTTTGCTGAGCTCCACCGAGTGTCTGATCTCCTCCACTTTCAGCCTTCTGTCCTGGATCATCTGCCAAACATCAGCCTCGATCCTTTTCATCTGAGCCTGAACATTAGAAGAGGAATAAAAAGCTAAAATAAATCAAACGCCAATGTATTTGACTGGAGGATGGCGTTTAGGATCTCACCTTCTTCTCCTTGCTTTCTCGCTCCACTGGGACAGTGTCATGGCAGCGGTGGTCGGTCTCGGTGCACAGCACACACACACACCTCTGGTCGCTTCTGCAGAACAACTCCAGAAGCCTTTGGTGCCTTTTACACATCCGGTTCTCCAGCATTGCCACGGGTTCTATCAGCTTGTGTATCTTTAAGGTGGCAACCCTTAGATGGGGCTCCAGGTGACTCTCACAATACGAGGTTAGACATACAAGGCAGGACTTCAGGGCCTCTCTTTGCGTCCCCACGCACACATCACAAAATACACATTTTCTAGCCATTGGCATCCCGTCATTATGCCATCTTGCTCGGATCTGCTGAGACATTTCCCTGGCGAATGAGTTTTCACAAAGCTCTGGGCGGCTCTCAAAGGCTGTCTGACATTTGGGACAGCTGACAACACGGCTGTGGTCCCAGTGTGACGTAATACAGGTGAAGCAGAAGCTGTGGCCGCATGGGATGGAGACGGGCTCAAAGAAAACTTCCAGACAGATGCAACACTTAAACTGCATCTCTGACAGGAGAACGCTGGGGGAGGCCATGCCGTCCGATGTGAAATCTGTTAACTGATTATGAACACAAAATTAATTATTTACATTATGAGTCACAGACGGAAAGGGCTTTGGTGAGATTTACGGCTTAAGAGTAAAGACAAATATCAGAGGCCACTAAATACTTTAGAGCTTTGGTCCAGATATTTAATGCAGTGTAGGTATTTAATGCAGTGACCGTGATTGACTTTTTAACAGTGTGAACTATTGTAAATTATTTATCATTAACTTTAGACATCTCATAGCACAAGGGCCAAAGTCCAGCTGCATGGTCACATAACTTAGTCACGCTCTAACTCTTATCAAATTAGCTTCAAACACAGCTTAAAAGACCAAAGACGAACATGCATCGCCCTGCAAGTGTTTCAATGTTCCACACTGCCTTAATTCACTGAACAATGGATAAAGACAAATGGCTTCAAACAGTAGATTCTTCTATTCCATTCAATCTGCCATAAAAGAAAACTGAAACGTCCTCAAATTGATTGCATTTGCTTAATCCACATGAACATAAACCTGCTACTTCGTCTTGGTCTTACCTTGTTGTTGAATGTGAAACAAGAACGTCAAAGCAGCAAAGGCAAACACTTGCACTCCGGTTGTGAAGCAAAGTCCTACAGGGTTTCGCTGTTACCACTCCCTATGGGTCTTTTTTTCCTTGAGCGCTATCATCCATCATGTAGTTCCAGGGTGGGAGGAGTAACACGTAGATCAGGGGTTGGGTATATAATGTATATATAATCTTTTTTTGTAATGAACTGAGCTACAACAAGGAAGTACTTGAATAAAGGTATTAAACATTCATCACTTCACCATTCCAAGGCTCTTTTTTCCCCCCAAATGGAGAAAAACGTACTACATATATTCACAAACATGTTCACAATTCTAAAAAGGTCAAAGTCAGTGTATTTTTGGTAGTCATTGTATTGACCTGTAGGATTCCAGTTTATTATTTTCAATTAGACACATGCTTAAATTAAAAACTATTTGTACAGAGGACTGATCATCACGTTGTGCAATAACAATCATCTGAAGCTAATGTGACCACCGGTACTGCAGGGTGGGGTTATTTTCTCGTAGGACTAATTATTGAACAACCTCGGACCCACAGGTGACCAAAGGAAAGACCGAGGCGAAGGATTCACTCAGAGTACATTTATTTAAACATTTTTCTTAAAATATAACATTCATACAAAGCAAATCCGATTAACTCTAATAATTAGTTGGACTGCAGCGGGCCAAGAAGGGGGGGGGGGGGAGTCATCGACTCCGGTGCCCCACACACTGAGACCAAAGAATGGAAATAAAAATCAAACATGCAATTCAGAAAATATGCAAAGCAAGAGAAAATACCATCAAAAACACACAACTGATAATGTGAGGAGCAGGTGAGCGGCCCGGTCACCAGCCCCAACACCGTCTGGATAGCCACGCTGCTGCCAACTCCAAGCACTCCTAAAAAAAGAAACAAACAAAAATTAATCAAAAGTAACCTTCTGGGCGAAACAAACAGTTTCAGTTAAAGGGAACCAAACACCAACAAAAGGTAATCTAACTGAACAAAAATGGAACATTGGTACGTCTGGATGAGCTGCAGAGGTCGAATGGTGGTGGCAGGGAGACCTGCCAGGAGAGAGTTACAGAAGTCAAGGCGGTAGATGACAAGAGCCTGAATCAGTACCAGCGCCGCCTTCCGAGTGAGAAGGGGACATATTCTCCTGATGTTATAGAGCGTGTATCTACAGGATCATATTGTTGCTGTAATGTTGGGAGTCAGGGAGAGTTGGCTGTCAAGTGTCACACCGAAGTTCCTGGCAGTCAAAGTGGACGTTAACACAGAGTTGCCAAAGTTAACAGTCAGGTCCTGTGTAGGAGAATCGGAGAATCAACGGTTTGGGTTCATGTCTGTTTTATTTAGTAGTTTCTTGCCTCTGTTCTCCCTGGGTCACGTCACTTCCTGCCTTGTCCCGTCTTCCCCTGTGATGGTCTGTCATGTCATGATCGTTTCCAGCTGTTTCCAATCACCTGCACCTCCCTGTGTCTGTTGTCACTTGTCGCGTCATTACTAATTGTTGGTGGGCCGAAGCGCATGCCATGTCCTCCTTGCAGTTTCCTATCCATGTATTTGCCTTTTTGATTTTTGGAAGTTTTGACTATTAAAATCCAATTGATGGACCTTGCGGTCCAACGCCAGGCCTCCTACGCCCTCCACGCTAGGCCGCAGCGCACCATGTCCCGCGCTGGGACGTGGTGCGTCATTCTGTCAAGAGCGGGGTCCATGCGAGGGAAGAGGCAAGGTAGGACTCAAATGCAATGCAAAAAAGCACTTTAATAGTGAAAACTTTTAAAAATCAAAAAGGCAAAAACATGGATAGGAAACCTGCAACAAGGACATGGCATGGCATGGCATGCGCTTCGGCCCACCAACAGCCTGTCTGAGTAGCTTAGGAAGGACATTTCCTCGCTGGCTACACTCAGTAACAGCAAAACCAAAAAGCTTGTGATGGAGACCAAGATGAACAGAAGCCCAAGTCCTGGAATCATCCAGGTGTACCTACAATTACCATGAGGAACAAATCAATGAAAAACATAACTCAAACACTAGATAGACAGATGACGACGAGGGAAAAATGTAAAGCTATCTTCGATAATCCTCCGACCACGTGTATAACAAGCTGTGGCAATTTCAAAGCCTGAAGCAGAAAGAAGAAGAAAACTAAAGCTTAGGAGTTATTCATAACATGGGTCGAGATTCTAAAGATAGAAACATTGGTTTGCTGTAAAGATTGTGAATCCACTTGAGTCTAAGTCGATATTTGTGCCAAAGAAATTTCATTTCAAGCGCTCCTGATGAACCACGTTCACAAAAATGGGACGAAGAGCAGAGAAAGAGATCGAGAGAGAAAGCAATTTGGCTTTTTCTTAACAATTATTACCGGTCCATTCCAAAATAGCTGTTTGATTGGCAGCATTTAATGGTAATAGTATATTCAACAGTGAAAAGGGAAAGAAATGACAGAAAAATGAATTCTAAATAATGAAAAGCTTTCTTAAAATAGTTTTTAGCATAGCAGACACATTCATCTCGTTTAACCTTGTCTTTCATCCACTGGTTTCAAGGATGGATCTTCAGAGAAAACTGAGGCGGCAATCCCTGCCGTTTTAGGAACTAGATTGAAAATAAAAGCAACAACAAAGTTGATATTGAGTAAGATAATGTGTTTGAAATTTTAATGAGTAGAAAGTAGTCAAGATTAGCATTCAGTCTCACCGTCGTCAATAAATCCTGGATGTCCAAGTCTGATGGCTGAATCAATGATTTTAATCGGATTTTTAACCCAACAACATAATCTGTTGACACAGAAACATTAAATAAAACACATTGTGATGAAATGAATAGTTTTGCAGGTATTTTTCTTGGCAAAAGCTAAAGCAGATCCAAAATAAGGAAGGAAATATGAGATAACATTAATACCTAAAATGTAAACAAAGAAATAAAATGCATTTACTTACAAGGACCTTTGTTGTAGGACGCATAGTTAGAGAAGAATTGGAGAGGTGGTGTTTGTTTACAAGGAAAGAAAAGGACTTAAGGTGAATTGATGTTTTGTTAACCTTGGAAATGTGATGTATACATTCCTCTCCATTAAAATGTAAAGATTCAGTATCAAAGCTTTAGTTTCATGATGTATATACCAAAAAAAATTTCCAACAATTCATTTCAACAATTTCATTATTTTTTCACATTAGCTGCTCCAAACTGATTGCCATTTGAAATCAATAGCTGGTGGCTAATACCGCAATCTAATTAATGCCTTTAACTATGATTAGGCCACAAATACCATGTTACCATGTTTTGTGTAGTTAATTATGATGTATGAGGTGTTTGTTAAAATAAAAAAAAAAATTGATCAAGTTGCATTTCTTACCAGTGACTGCAGCAGTGTTGACTCCACTGCTTCTGACACTCTCAAACACAGAGAACAGAGTGAATGTGTATTTAGTTCCAGGAGTGAGAGATGAGACTGTGTAAATCACTGGTCCATTCACTGGTTCACTGATGTTTCTCTCCGTCCCATTAAACTTGAGAACAAAGCTGACATTGGTGTTCACTTGATTCCACTGAAGAGTGATACTGGTCTCATTTTGTCCTATTGATTGGAAGCTGTCTGTGTTCGGAGGAGCTGAAACACAAAAGAAAAAGAGAATACATTTCTCAAAAAATGATAACAAAATCATACTCATGCATTTTTAACCTCTTAAGCTGAAAGTTTTACATCTCATTTCAAAAATACTATTGATGGCAGTGACAGAAAAAAATGTATTAGCAGGAATGTTCATGCCTTTTTTGACTGAATGAGATCAGAAAAAGGACATTTAGTGACACAATTGTAGACACAGTAAATACATTTATTCTTACATTGTCAGGCTAAAAACAATGTGATGGAAGGCGACTAACAACAAAGTGTCTTTTTCTGGAATGTATTTACCAGTGACTGCAGCAGCGTTGACTCCACTGCTTCTGACACTCTCAAACACAGAGAACAGAGTGAATGTGTATTTAGTTCCAGCAGTGAGAGATGAGACTGTGTAAATCACTGGTCCATTCACTGGTTCACTGATGTTTCTCTCCGTCCCATTAAACTTGAGAACAAAGCTGACATTGGTGTTCACTTGATTCCACTGCAGAGTGATACTAATCTCATTTTGTCCTATTGATTTGAAGCTGTCTGTGTTTGGAGGAGCTGAAACACAAAAGAAAATGAGAATACATTTCTCAAAAAATGATAACAAAATCATACTAATGCATTTTTAACCTTTTAAGCTGAAAGTTTTACATCTCATTTCAAACACAAATATTGATGGCAATGACAGCAAAAAGTGCATTAGCATGAATGTTCATGCCTTTTTTGACTGAATGAGATGAGAAAAACGACATTTAATGACACCATTGTAGACACAGCAAATACATTTATTCTAACCTTGTCAAGCTGAAAACAATGTGATGGAAGGCGACTAACAACAAAGTGTCTTTTTTTGGAATGTGTTTCTTACCAGTGACTGCAGCAGTGTTGACTCCACTGCTTCTGACACTCTCAAACACAGAGAACAGAGTGAATGTGTATTTAGTTCCAGCAGTGAGAGATGAGACTGTGTAAATCACTGGTCCATTCACTGGTTCACTGATGTTTCTCTCCGTCCCATTAAACTTGAGAACAAAGCTGACATTGGTGTTCACTTGATTCCACTGAAGAGTGATACTGGTCTCATTTTGTCCTATTGATTGGAAGCTGTCTGTGTTTGGAGGAGCTGAAACACAAAAGAAAATGAGAATACATTTCTCAAAAAATGATAACAAAATCATACTCATGCATTTTTGACCTTTTAAGTTGAAAGTTTTACATCTCATTTCGGAAAAACACTATTGATGGCAGTGACAGAATTTTTTTTTTTAGCATGAATGTTCATGCCTTTTTTGACTGAATGAGATCAGAAAAAGGACATTTAGTGACACAATTGTAGACACAGCAAATACATTTATTCTTACATTGTCAGGCTGAAAACAATGTGATGGAAGGCGACTAACAACAAAGTGTCTTTTTTTGGAATGTGTTTCTTACCAGTGACTGCAGCAGTGTTGACTCCACTGCTTCTGACACTCTCAAACACAGAGAACAGAGTGAATGTGTATTTAGTTCCAGCAGTGAGAGATGAGACTGTGTAAATCACTGGTCCATTCACTGGTTCACTGATGTTTCTCTCCGTCCCATTAAAGTTGAGAACAAAGCTGACATTGATATTCACTTGATTCCACTGAAGAGTGATACTGGTCTCATTTTGTCCTATTGATTGGAAGCTGTCTGTGTTTGGAGGAGCTGAAACACAAAAGAAAATGAGAATACATTTCTCAAAAAATGATAACAAAATCATACTCATGCATTTTTGACCTTTTAAGTTGAAAGTTTTACATCTCATTTCGGAAAAACACTATTGATGGCAGTGACAGAATTTTTTTTTTAGCATGAATGTTCATGCCTTTTTTGACTGAATGAGATGAGAAAAATGACATTTAGAGACACCATTGTAGACACAGCAAATACATTTATTCTTACATTGTCAAGCTGAAAACAATGTGATGGAAGGCGACTAACAACAAAGTGTCTTTTTTTGGAATGTGTTTCTTACCAGTGACTGCAGCAGTGTTGACTCCACTGCTTCTGACACTCTCAAACACAGAGAACAGAGTGAATGTGTATTTACTTCCAGCATTGAGAGATGAGACTGTGTAAATCACTGGTCCATTCACTGGTTCACTGATGTTTCTCTCCGTCCCATTAAACTTGAGAACAAAGCTGACATTGGTGTTCACTTGATTCCACTGCAGAGTGATACTGGTCTCATTTTGTCCTATTGATTTGAAGTTGTCTGTGTTTGAAGGAGCTGAAACACAAAAGAAAATGAGAATACATTTCTCAAAAAATGATAACAAAATCATACTCATGCATTTTTAACCTTTTAAGCTGAAAGTTTTACATCTCATTTCAAACACAAATATTGATGGCAATGACAGAAAAAAGTGCATTAGCAGGAATGTTCATGCCTTTTTTGACTGAATGAGATGAGAAAAATGACATTTAGAGACACCATTGTAGACACAGCAAATACATTTATTCTAACCTTGTCAAGCTGAAAACAATGTGATGGAAGGCGACTAACAACAAAGTGTCTTTTTTTGGGAATGTGTTTCTTACCAGTGACTGCAGCAGTGTTGACTCCACTGCTTCTGACACTCTCAAACACAGAGAACAGAGTGAATGTGTATTTTGTTCCAGCATTGAGAGATGAGACTGTGTAAATCACTGGTCCATTCACTGGTTCACTGATGTTTCTCTCCGTCCCATTAAAGTTGAGAACAAAGCTGACATTGATATTCACTTGATTCCACTGAAGAGTGATACTGGTCTCATTTTGTCCTATTGATTGGAAGCTGTCTGTGTTTGGAGGAGCTGAAACACAAAAGAAAATGAGAATACATTTCTCAAAAAATGATAACTAAATCATACTCATGCATTTTTGACCTTTTAAGTTGAAAGTTTTACATCTCATTTCGGAAAAACACTATTGATGGCAGTGACAGAATTTTTTTTTTAGCATGAATGTTCATTTCTTTTTTGACTGAATGAGATCAGAAAAGGGACATTTAGTGACACAATTGTAGACACAGCAAATACATTTATTCTAACATTGTCAGGCTGAAAAACAATGTGATGGAAGGCGACTAACAACAAAGTGTCTTTTTTTGGAATGTGTTTCTTACCAGTGACTGCAGCAGTGTTGACTCCACTGCTTCTGACACTCTCAAACACAGAGAACAGAGTGAATGTGTATTTTGTTCCAGCATTGAGAGATGAGACTGTGTAAATCACTGGTCCATTCACTGGTTCACTGATGTTTCTCTCCGTCCCATTAAAGTTGAGAACAAAGCTGACATTGATATTCACTTGATTCCACTGAAGAGTGATACTGGTCTCATTTTGTCCTATTGATTGGAAGCTGTCTGTGTTTGGAGGAGCTGAAACACAAAAGAAAATGAGAATACATTTCTCAAAAAATGATAACAAAATCATACTCATGCATTTTTGACCTTTTAAGTTGAAAGTTTTACATCTCATTTCGGAAAAACACTATTGATGGCAGTGACAGAATTTTTTTTTTTAGCATGAATGTTCATGCCTTTTTTGACTGAATGAGATCAGAAAAAGGACATTTAGTGACACAATTGTAGACACAGCAAATACATTTATTCTAACATTGTCAGGCTGAAAACAATGTGATGGAAGGCGACTAACAACAAAGTGTCTTTTTTTGGAATGTATTTCTTACCAGTGACTGCAGCAGTATTGACTCCACTGCTTCTGACACTCTCAAACACAGAGAACAGAGTGAATGTGTATTTACTTCCAGCAGTGAGAGATGAGACTGTGTAAATCACTGGTCCATTCACTGGTTCACTGATGTTTCTCTCCGTCCCATTAAACTTGAGAACAAAGCTGACATTGGTGTTCACTTGATTCCACTGCAGAGTGATACTGGTCTCATTTTGTCCTATTGATTTGAAGTTGTCTGTGTTTGGAGGAGCTGAAACACAAAAGAAAATGAGAATACATTTCTCAAAAAATGATAACAAAATCATACTCATGCATTTTTGACCTTTTAAGTTGAAAGTTTTACATCTCATTTGTGAAAAACACTATTGATGGCAATGACAGCAAAAAGTGCATTAGCAGGAATGTTCATGCCTTTTTTGACTGAATGAGATGAGAAAAACGACATTTAATGACACCATTGTAGACACAGCAAATACATTTATTCTAACCTTGTCAAGCTGAAAACAATGTGATGGAAGGCGACTAACAACAAAGTGTCTTTTTTTGGAATGTGTTTCTTACCAGTGACTGCAGCAGTGTTGACTCCACTGCTTCTGACACTCTCAAACACAGAGAACAGAGTGAATGTGTATTTACTTCCAGCAGTGAGAGATGAGACTGTGTAAATCACTGGTCCATTCACTGGTTCACTGATGTTTCTCTCCGTCCCATTAAACTTGAGAACAAAGCTGACATTGGTGTTCACTTGATTCCACTGCAGAGTGATACTGGTCTCATTTTGTCCTATTGATTGGAAGCTGTCTGTGTTTGGAGGAGCTGAAACACAAAAGAAAATGAGAATACATTTCTAAAAAAATGATAACAAAATCATACTCATGCATTTTTGACCTTTTAAGTTGAAAGTTTTACATCTCATTTCGGAAAAACACTATTGATGGCAGTGACAGAATTTTTTTTTTTAGCATGAATGTTCCTGCCTTTTTTGACTGAATGAGATCAGAAAAAGGACATTTAGTGACACAATTGTAGACACAGCAAATACATTTATTCTTACATTGTCAGGCTGAAAACAATGTGATGGAAGGCGACTAACAACAAAGTGTCTTTTTTTGGAATGTATTTCTTACCAGTGACTGCAGCAGTGTTGACTCCACTGCTTCTGACACTCTCAAACACAGAGAACAGAGTGAATGTGTATTTAGTTCCAGCAGTGAGAGATGAGACTGTGTAAATCACTGGTCCATTCACTGGTTCACTGATGTTTCTCTCCGTCCCATTAAACTTGAGAACAAAGCTGACATTGGTGTTCACTTGATTCCACTGAAGAGTGATACTGGTCTCATTTTGTCCTATTGATTGGAAGCTGTCTGTGTTTGGAGGAGCTGAAACACAAAAGAAAATGAGAATACATTTCTCAAAAAATGATAACAAAATCATACTCATGCATTTTTGACCTTTTAAGTTGAAAGTTTTACATCTCATTTCGGAAAAACACTATTGATGGCAGTGACAAAATTTTTTTTTTTAGCATGAATTTTCCTGCCTTTTTTGACGGAATGAGTCAGAAAAAGGACAGTTAGTGACAGCATTGGAGAGACCGCAGATACGTTTATTCTCATCTTGTTGGGCTGAACACAATGATAGAGGACGCCACCAAAAACAGAGTGTGTTTTTGGGGAGTGTTTTTCTTACCAGCCACCGGAGCTGTGTTGACTCAGGCGGCTCCGACCCTCACACACAGAGAACAGAGTGAATGTGTATTTAGTTCCAGCAGTGAGAGATGAGACTGTGTGAAATACTGGTCCATCTCCCACTGGTTTACTGATGTTTCTCTCCGTCCCATGAAACTTGAGAACAAAGCTGACATTGGTGTTCACTTGATTCCGCTGCAGAGTGATACTAATCTCATTTTGTCCTATTGATTTGAAGCTGTCTGTGTTTGGAGGAGCTGAAACACAAAAGAAAATGAGAATACATTTCTCAAAAAATGATAACAAAATCATACTAATGCATTTTTGACCTTTTAAGTTGAAAGTTTTACATCTCATTTTAAAAATGAATATTGAGGCAGTAACAGACATTTTTTTTTAGCAGGAATGTTCATGCCTTTTTTGACTGAATGAGATAAGAAAAATGACATTTAGAGACACCATTGTAGACACAGCAAATACATTTATTCTAACATTGTCAGGCTGAAAACAATGTGATGGAAGGCGACTAACAACAAAGTGTCTTTTTTTGGAATGTGTTTCTTACCAGTGACTGCAGCAGTGTTGACTCCACTGCTTCTGACACTCTCAAACACAGAGAACAGAGTGAATGTGTATTTACTTCCAGCAGTGAGAGATGAGACTGTGTAAATCACTGGTCCATTCACTGGTTCACTGATGTTTCTCTCCGTCCCATTAAACTTGAGAACAAAGCTGACATTGGTGTTCACTTGATTCCACTGAAGAGTGATACTGGTCTCATTTTGTCCTATTGATTGGAAGCTGTCTGTGTTTGGAGGAGCTGAAACACAAAAGAAAATGAGAGTACATTTCTCAAAAAATGATAACGAAATCATACTCATGCATTTTTAACATTTTAAGCTGAAAGTTTTACATCTCATTTCAAACACAAATATTGATGGCAATGACAGCAAAAAGTGCATTAGCAGGAATGTTCATGCCTTTTTTGACTGAATGAGATGAGAAAAACGACATTTAGTGACACAATTGTAGACACAGCAAATACATTTATTCTAACCTTGTCAAGCTGAAAACAATGTGATGGAAGGCGACTAACAACAAAGTGTCTTTTTTTGGAATGTGTTTCTTACCAGTGACTGCAGCAGTGTTGACTCCACTGCTTCTGACACTCTCAAACACAGAGAACAGAGTGAATGTGTATTTAGTTCCAGCAGTGAGAGATGAGACTGTGTAAATCAAATGGTCCATTCACTGGTTCACTGATGTTTCTCTCCGTCC